TCTCTTTTATTAGATAGGACTAGAGGCCCAGTGCATGAAAATTCATGCACTGGCAGGGTGGTGTCCCTCAGCCTGGCCTGTGCCCTCTCAGAGTCCAGGAGCCCTCAGGGGATGTCCAACTGATAGCTTAAGCCTGCTCTGGCCTCCCTCTGTGGGAAGTGATTAGGCAGGCAATCAGGGGATGGCGCCGGCCCCCATCGCCCACTGCTGGTTGCCACCGTCCCTACCCACCCCTTTGCTGTCCCCTCCCTCTGCCTGCTGGCATGCACCTTGGCTGGCCTGGTGCCACCTACTCACTGGCTCTGCCCCCCACCTACTGGTCATTCTGCCATTCTGTCCATTTGCATATTATGTTTTTATTATATAGGATTCTGTGTAGCTAATTGGTTCCGACAGAATGACTTTGTTGATTTTTAAAATATATTTTTATTGATTTCAGAGAGGAAAGGAGAGGGAGAGAGAGAGAAACATCCATGGTGAGAGAGAATCATTGATCAGCTGCCTCCTGCATGCCCCCTACTGGGGATCAAACCCACAACCCAGGCATGAGCTCTGACCTGGAATTGAACTGTGACCTCCTGGTTCATAGGTCAATGCTCAACCACTGAGCCATGCCAGCCGGGCAATTCTGATGGGTTTTGCAGAACTTTTATGACTGTTGCCAACCTATGGTTGCAATTGACAAGCGAGTGTAGTTCCCACATGAATGTTGTTAATATTTGCATCTATATTAATGGGTCAAAAGAATTCAAAACAACAAAGATGTTTGTTGAAACTTCTTTGTCCATCCATGACATGAGCGACTTCTTTGCTGCATGAGATAATCATTTTCAATGACTGCAAGAGCATTTCCTCCATTTGTTGTGCTATGTAAAATGTAATAACTACACATAAAACACACCTATAGGTTTAATCTGCATTATTAAGATGTTCCCATCACTATTTTAAGTCTAAATAAATAAACTATAAATAAAGTCCTGACTTTCAGCATTTGCTAGTTTTCATGGTGTGAATCCTCCCACCTACTCACTTGCGGGTGGCATTACTGAGCTGGTTTGGGAAGATGCTTAGCAGTGAGCCCCCAGGTAGCATGTCCAACACACAGACACCATTGACAGAAATTGCCTCAAGAGCGTGGATAATCTTATCTAATAAAGAGGGAATTTGCAAATTGACCATCACACCCTAACAGTCAAGATGGCTGTGCCCACAGTGGAGGCCGAGTTCCCGAAATGAGCCTTAACGAGCAATCAGCAGGGACCTCAGGCCGCACCCCTGCTCCATCCCTGGGCCGGAGGACCTGAGGTCACGCTCCCTGCCATGTGGAGCTTGATGGTGTGAGAATGAGCCAGTCATCTCTTCTGTCAAAGAACAGTGTGGTCAGCCGCCATTTAGGCTGTGTCACTTGGCAGCCGCCCTGTTGGCCGCATGGCTTGCAGCTCCCCTGGGGGCCACCATCTTGAAACAGCAAAGGCCAACCCCTCCCTTTGAATTAGCCAATCGGGAAAAACTGTGCGCCTGAGCACCAATCAGGAGCAAGGGACAGGTCACACGTCAGGGGTTATAAAGCCAAACAGGCCGCCCGCTGGGTGTGCGCGCTCCCAGACCATGTGTGCACCCTTCTGCGTAGAAGCACAGATGTCCGCCTGCTGCCTGGCTCCAACTATGACTTGTGTTCCACCAGGACCCCTGACTCAGGGGCTCGCCTTATTTCTAGCAATGGGGGACCTCCGGCCACACCCCCCACCCAGCGGGGCTTGATGGGGACCTCAGGCCCTGCCCCCCACCTAGTGGAGCTTGTCAGGGGTGGGGTCGGCCGCATCTGGATCTAGCCCAGCCGTGGGCAAACTACGGCCCATTTGAAATGAATAAAACTAAAAAAAAAAAGACCGTACCCTTTTATGTAATGATGTTTACTTTGAATTTATATTAGTTCACACAACCTTCCATCCATGCTTTTGTTCCGGCCCTCCGGTCCAGTTTAAGAACCCATTGTGGCCCTCGAGTCAAAAAGTTTGCCCACCCCTGAGCCCAATGGGGGTGGGGCCGGCCGGGTCTGGGTCTCGCGCGATTTTGAGGTGCACGTGGGTGGGCGGGGACTTGACTCTGGGTCCCACGGCGTGCCCCAGACGTTGACAGGAGGAAGATTTTCATATACATTTTACTAATTTTCTTTCATCGCTGATACTTATATTATAGAGAAAGGGCAAATAGCAATATTAAAATATTTCCTCTAATTAATTCCCTTTTAATGTGCACAAATTTCATGCACCAGGTCACTAGTAGTAAAATAATTCAGAAGTAATGAGTTTTGAGAATTTATTCCCTTTGTGTTGAATAGAACTGATTTAATTGTAAGTTTATATAATTTAGTTTTATATAATACTGTGTTGATCCACAAGCTTGCAAAGCCACTGAGAATTTAACCACTGACTCTTAGGAGCCAACACCAGCCAGCTCTCACACCCACCACTGGGCAACGCTCACAGACACCTCCACTCTCCCAACCGAGGTCTGGTAGCTTCCTCTCCCAAAAAAGGGGGACACTGAGGCTCATGTCCTAGAACAAGGATGGCTGGGGGGGTGTCTGCTGTGGAGTGAGAGGAGGGCTGTGGAGCTGAGAGAGCCAGAGGGAGTTTCATACCAGGGCAGTGAGGGTGGACAGAGGTTGCATGTAAGGGATACTGAAACCCACGCCCACATTGCCAGCACTGGTGACCCGGCCTGCCCGGGCCGGCCCTCAGGATGAGAGCCACAGGTCTTCACAGAGAGGCGGCCACACCAAGGTGCAAATCACACACCAAAGAATGTAAATAACAAGTTTGCCCACAGGACGGAAGAATGGTCAGTGCCAGGCTCCTGGGCCGGGCCTGTCCGTCAGCACGTAGTGAAGCTGGTCACAGGGAGTCAGGCCCTGTTGGCCAAATGCAGTTGTGTTTCATCGTCTCAGAATTTAGGAAAAGGGCCCGCCGGCGTGGCTCAGGGGTTGAGCATTGACCTATGAACCAGGAGGTCACGGTTCGATTCCCAGTCAGGGCACATGCCTGGGTTGTGGGCTCGATCCCCAGTGTGGGGCGTGCAGGAGGCAGCTGATCAGGGATTCTCTCTCATCATGGATGTTTCTATCTCTCTCCCTCTCCCTTCCTCTCTGTAATCAACAAAAAAATATATATTAAAAAAAAAAGAATTTAGGAAAAAGGCAAGAGAGGGTTGAGAGACAGGAGCTGGGAACCCGAAGGTCGAAGACACCCTGACATAGCACTGCTCTCTGTTGGGAAAGCTGCCTCGGCCCCTGGGGCCCTGGAGTCCTGTTTCCATTTCCCAAGTCCTCTTCCACTTGCCAGTGCACCCTACATGCCTGCTGGCCTCTGGCTCCCGGAAAGGAGCTACAGGACCCCCGCCTCCCAGGCCCAGTGCAGTGGGAGGGGCCGTGCAGAGTCCTAAGCACCAGGGGGCTGAGTGGCGACCTTTTGTGCAACTCTGAACGTGGCCTCACTCAGGAGCTGACCCTGAGGCTCAGATGCCGTGAGGGGCGGGGCCGCGGGAGAGGAGCAGGGATGGGTCCGCAGGGAAGGGGCAGTTGGGTCGGAGAGCAGCCCGCCCCCAGCTTTGGCACAGGAGGCAGCCCGCCCAGCCCAGAGCGGTCTTTTCTGAATCCATTCGGCAAGTCAAAGCGCCCCTCGGACAGAACCAGCGGAGACCCTATGACCTCACCCTTGTGTGGGTATAAAAGGGACAGCGCCGACACTAACAGCACGTGGTGGGGCCGGAGGGGGGATGAGGAGAAGGGGGCCTACTATGAGGTGACAGGAGGGGATCTGACTCTGGGAGGTGGGCACGCGGTGCAATACACAGATCCTGCCACACAGAAACCCACACCCGAAACCTGTATGTTCATGTGGACCAACGCCACCCCAATTTAATTAAAAAACCAAACAACCCCACAAAACAGGAAAATAAATAAATAAAGCTTCTAGAACATTAAAAAGAGAGAGAGCCCCTCTGAGGCCTGCCCCGACTCCTGGCCCAGGGCTCCCTCCCGGGGGTCTCCCTCCCAGGAGGACTTGGGATCTGGGTCCGAGCTCACCCTCATGCCGGCGGGTCTGCGTGGCCCTGAGTCAGCTCTGCCCGGGCCTGGTGCCCGCTGGCCTGGGAGTCCCACAGCCTCGGTTCTGCCATTGACCAGGTTACTGAACCCAAGCAAGTGACATAGCGTCCGGCCTCTAGGCCCCTCTCTACCTTTCCATGCAGGGAGTCGCCTGGGCCAGCAGGGAGCAGGCTGCCCGGATGGGGGGAGGGTGGGCGGGGTGAGAAGGGGAGCCTCCTTGTGCTGCCCGCACCCTGCTTGCCCTCAGACTCCCAGCTGCAGGAGACAGCTCAGCTCAGCACCTTCGTCCTGGACAGGAGTGAAACCAGGCCCGAGGGGCCTTGGGCACCTTGGGGAGGGGCACCCGTGAGAGTGGGAACCTCGGGAGAAACAGGGGTGAGAGGCACAGACAGAGGGAGGCTGAGGCCAGAGGGGAAGCCGAGGGAAGGGGCGCTGACGCAGCTCACTCTGCAAATGTCTCCCCTAACCCTCGGAGGACCTGTTCCCCTTTCTGTGGGAATGATCCGGGGCGGGTCTCCTGGCCGCACGGGCGGCTGCACCGAGCTTACCTCTGGCCTGGCAGCTGCCCCGCCTTTCACACCCACCTCGCTGCCACCTCAGGCTGCACTGTCTCCCGGAAGGCTGCCTCCCGGCCTGGTTCCCGAGCCTCCTCCAGGGCCCCCAGACCTGCTTGCCCCACAGGGCATCCCCTGCAGCAGGCGGGGGGGCGCTCCCCCAGGAAGGGTGAGTTAGCTGCTCTGTGCTTGGCTCTGCCCAGCTGCCTGGTGTGCGGTGAATCCTGGGGGCGGGACTACCTGCTGCTCATCAGGTGTGTGTATGTTTGACGGGCAGGCACCCCTGGGTGCAGAGACCCCTGGTCCCACTGAAGGGGACGCCAGGGCCCCTCGCTCACCTGCATGGACCATCTCCAGCCTCCTCCATCCTCAACACCCACCAGCTCTCCTGAGAGGAAGGCCGCCAGCCTGCTGCACCCCGGAGTCTGGAAGGCTGCGTGGCCAGGGGAGAGGAGGGGGCGGGGCGAGGAGGGGGCGGGGCGATGAGGAGGGCGGGGGCAGGAGGGTGTCCTGGAGGCAGCGTCCGCTCCACCTTATCTCAGCAACGCATCCTTCAGTGGGTCACCGAGACACACGGCCTCTGTTTCTTTACCTGTGAAATGGGCACAGTCATACCTGACCATCTACTCAGCTCGGTTCCTACCCATTCTTTAAACTCTTACCAGATGCTTTTCGCCAGCATCGACCTTTGCCCTGGGCAGCCCAGTGAGGGGGACTCACCACCCAGGCTGTTGACCGGAAGCCTGAGGCCGGACGGCTCCCTTCAGACCTGTGCTGCCTTCACCTGGGCTCGGCCCCAGGTCACATTGGTGGGGTCACAGCCTCGCCTGGGGGTACAGAGGCGACAGGGCCACGGTGCTGCAGCCTGCAGACCTGTCCTCCGAACCCCGACCCCCAACAGGACGCGCCTTTCTGGCTGGAGGATCTGAGGGCTCAGCCCTCCCTCTGCCCCACACCCGCCAGGAGGAAGCCCGGCAGCGCCTCTTCCCCCAGGGAGGGTTCAGTGGGGAGTGAGGGGGGGCGGTGCTGGACCCACACCTCTGCCCGCCCCCTCTGGGCAGTTATTCCTGGGCCCCCTTCAGAGCTCTGCGTTGTCAATCAGACGGCAAGTAGATGCCTTTGCTCTGTGGGTGGGAGAAGGAGGATGATAGAAGTCAGGGCTCTGCAGGCTGCAGCCCTCAGGCACCTGATTCTGAGGACGGCCTTTCCACCCCACCCTTACCTGGTGGCCTGCCTTGTCCATAACCCCATCCCTCCCACATCAGAGGCTTCAGGACGGAGCCTGCCGAGCCCACCCAACCTCTCCTGCAGGCCCACCCTCCCATCCACAGCGAGGGCTCAGCGCCCACATGGAGGGGACCCGGCAGCTCCCGTGCTGGGTTGGGGTGAGCAGCAAGCCCCTTGTCCCTACTCAGCTGGGGGCCTGTCATCCTGTGGTCACATTCCACAGCCTCGGATAAGGCCCCTGCAGTTCATGCAGAAAGAGGGAAGGGCCACCCCTTGTGAAGGGGGTGTGGCCAGGCCTGACTGGGGAGGGAGGCTTAGTGCCCATTCAACGGCAGTGAAATTCTGCCACCTTCTGGCCACATCCCTGAAATGCAGAGAGCCTTTGGCGGATTCCCTGGATGGGAAAAAAAAAAACCCACAAAAAAACGGTGGGAAACTACCCAGCTGCCCCCACTGGGTCCCTCTGACAGGGGCAGAAACGGAACGCGGGGCCAGCTGTGACTGCGAGGAAGGCGAGTCCTGCTCTGTGGCCGGGATTGCTGTTCTGGTTGCAGAGGCGCATGCTCACCTGGCTGGGAGCTGCAGTGGGACCCATCCCCCCCCCACCAGGAGCTGCCCGTGATCATGAAAGACGAGCAGCCTCATTGCAGAGACCAGAGCCCCCAGCCCGTCAAGGCCCCAGCCTTTGCTTACTCACAGGCCTTTGCTTACCCACAGGCCTTTGCATATCCAGCCCGCATTGCCTGTGAACGGCCCATCTGGCACACCCTCTGCCTCCTTCCCCTGTAATCTCTGTCCTTCTACCCAATACAGCAACTGGGGGAGAGTGGGGGGGGGGCGGGCAGATTTCTGTGGGTGACCTGCTGCTCTCCAGCTGCCGGCAGGACTGGAACACACGCTCATAGGATTCACCGTTTCTGCCGACTTGGCTCAGGTAGTGACGGGCACAGACCCGATGTTTGTCTGGTTACATCTCCTGTCCAAGTGCAGAAGGTTAAAAATCAAGCTTGGCTGCAGGGGGAGATGTTGTCATTGTTGCTGATGATGATCCGACAGCCGTCACAATATTGGCGTGCTGGGGCTTCACACACTGTGTGGGCTCTTCCGAGGTCCTTTCAGACGCCGTTACCCTCCTGCAGGCTGAGCCGCTGCCCACGGTCGCACTGGTGAGTCCAAGGCCACACTGGTGAGCCCACGGTCGCACTGGTGAGCCCACGGTCACGCTGGTGAGTCGCCCCCTTGTGCTCTGACTCAGGCCATCAGTCCCAAGCGCTGCTCCCTGCTCCAAAGCCCACACGACAAGATACCCTGATGCCCCTTGCGGGGCATCTCCCCATGTCCCCTTTTGTCTGCTTCACCCTCCACTCCCACCATCTTTCCCCAAGTGGAGGCGAGAAGCCCTGCCCACACCCCTGCACTATTCTAAGAAGAGGACCCAGTAGCCCCGTACACACAGGTGTCTTGTGGTAGGCGGGCCTGGAAGACCCGGGTCCAGCATGTGGGGCAGCACGGGACTTGGTTGGAAGGTCTGTCAGGAGGCATCTCTGGAAGGTCGGGGGCCTCGAGGGGGACTTTGCTGAAGGCAGCAGCCCCTGCCTTGACTTTTCCAATCAAGTATGAACCTTCCTCCCCAACCCCCAACCCCAGTGTTTTACTAGAATCTTTATATTTAGACTTCAAAGTGTCCTTGCTTAAAAAACACTGCAGAGGGAAACCAAGATGGCGGCATAGGTAAACACCGGAGATTGCTGCCTTGCACAACCACTTCAAAAATACAATTAAAGACAGAACGGACATCACCCAGAACCACAGGAAGGCTGGCTGAGGGGAAATTCTACAACTAGAAGGAAAGAGAAAAGCATACCGAGACTCAGAGAAGGTGCGGTGAGGAAGTAAAATACTAAGGTGCGGAGGTGCATGCGGAGCGGGCTGGTGGCTGAGGGCGCGGTTGTCGTTTTCAATCGGGAGTCTCAGGCTCTTGGCTCCAGTTTCGGGCGAGTCTCTGGGGACGCAGACTCATACGGGAGAAGCGGGACTGTCTGGCATTGGTCGGAACTCGAGGGCAGTTTTCTCTCCGAGGGGCTTGCAGCGGTTGCTGGGACACTGAGAGGCAGAGCCTCTGGGGACGAGACTGAGAGCAGCCATAACTGCTTGCTCGGCCCGCCCTGTTGATCCCGTGCGACCCGCCCTGCCCAAGTCCTGCACAGAGGCATTTGCTGGATAGCCTCAGGCAAAGGCTAGATTAGCACCTCCCTAGAGGACAGAAGTTCTCCCACTGCAGACACAGCTGATTCTCACAGCCACTTGGCCTGGAGGTCAAATCCCCCCCAGTGTTACCTACAACAATCAAGGCTTAACTACAACAAGACTGCGCATGAAGACCACTAGGGGGTGCACCAAGAAAGCATAAAAAATGCGGAGACAAAGAAACAGGACACAAATGACAGAAATGGAAGAAAGCAAAATGCTGGATATAGAGTTCAAAACCACACTTTTAAGGTCTCTCAAGAACTGTCTAGAAGCCGCCAATAAATTTAGTAAGGCCCTCAAAAAGACTGGTGAGACCGCCGATAAATATAGTGAGATCCTCAAGAAATCTAATGAGACCCTCGATGTTGTAATAAAGGACCAACTAGAAATTAAGCATACACTGACTGAAATAAAGAATATTATACAGGCTCCAAACAGCAGACCAGAGGAGCGCAAGAATCAAGTCAAAGATTTGAAATGTGAAGAAGCAAAAAACACCCAACCGGAAAAGCAAAATGAAAAAAGAATCTGAAAATACGAAGATAGTGTAAGGAGCCTCTGGGACAGCTTCAAGCTTACCAACATCTGAATTATAGGGGTGCCAGAAGATGAGAGAGAGCAAGATATTGAAAACCTATTTGAAGAAATAATGACAGAAAACTTCCCCTACCTGGTGAAAGAAATAGACTTCCAAGTCCAGGAAGCGCAGAGAACCCCAAACAAAAGGAATCCAAAGAGGACCACACCAAGACACATCATAATTAAAATGCCAAGAGCAAAAGACACAGAGAGAATCTTAAAAGCAGCAAGAAAAAGACAGTCAGTTACCCACAAGGGAGTACCCATACGACTGTCAGCGGATTTCTCAACAGAAACTTTGCAGGCCAGAAGGGAGTGGCAAGAAATATTCAAAGTGATGAATACCAAGAACCTACAACCAAGATTACTTTATCCAGCAAAACTATCATTCAGAATTGAAGGTCAGATAAAGAGCTTCACAGATAAGGAAAAGCTAACGGAGTTCATCACCACCAAACCAGGATTATATGAAATGCTGAAAGGTATCCTTTAAGAAGAGGAGGAAGAAGAAGAAGAAGGTAAAGATACAAATTATGAACAACAAATACGCATCTATCAACAAGTGAATCTAAAAATCAAGTGAATAAATAATCTGATGAACAGAATGAACTGGTGATTATAATAGAATCAGGAGCATAGAAAGGGAGTGGACTGACTATTCTTGGGGGGGGGGGGAGGAGTGTAGGGGTGAGGGAAGAGATTGGACAAAAATCGTGCACCTATGGATGAGGACAGTGGGTGGGGAGTGAGGGCGGAGGGTGGGGTGGGAACTGGGAGGAGGGGAGTTATGGGGGGGAAAAAAGAGGAACACATGTAATAATCTGAACAATAAAGATTTAATTTAAAAACAAAACAAAACACTGCAGACGCATGTGTCTTCTCAAGGATGCTCACCCTGCTGATAGTATCTAATAGCTAATTTTAGTTCAAGCTGTTGCTACAATAAAAGCCCAAGGAGGCAGGCGAATGGGGCTGTCTGGTTCCTTTAGCCAGGCAGCCCCTTAGCCCTCTCTTTCACAGAAACATGCGTCGGAGTCATCACTCATCCATCGCTCAGGTCTGCTGGTCAGCCCAGCACCAGAGCGGAGCTGGATAGGGCCTGAGTCCCTGACTGGTGGGCTGGGCAGTGGGACCCTGGGGATGTGGGAGTCCCATCCATCTGGCCGTCACCCCATCCTAATCAGGGTGCCCCAGCCTGGGACCACACTCAGTTTTCCAGTCCCTTCCATTCGAGCTGGGAGGGGCCTCGTAATGACCCAGTGTAAGTGCCTCGTGTTCTGCATGGGGAAGGGCAAGCCAGAGAGGGCAGGCAGCCTGCCCAGCTCACACAGCTCAAGTGACCAGCCAGGAGGGGAGCTCCCCACCCCCCGCCAGGGGAGGCCATGGCACAGGTCAGCGTGGACAGGACTTGCTGGGCCTGAGGAAAGAGGATGGAAGTGTGTTTGCTTCTCTGTGCCTCCCGATTCGGGGGAGATGCCCCTTGCCCCGCCTCCCCTTCTCTGATTGCTTTATCGCCACAATTCCAGCATGGATGGAGTCGGTAGGGCTTGGGAGGGTCCCGTCAACATGGCTGTTTTGTCTTCTCACCTCCCGGCCTCCACCCTCCTGGTGAGGCCCAGGCCTGGGACAGGCAGGGACCAGCTGCCCCCATGGCTGTCAGCCCAGAGAACTCAGACAGACCTGGGTTCCTGTCCACTCCCCTCCTCTGGGGCTGAAGGGCTCAGGGAGGGACCCAAGGTGTGGCGGCCAGGACCTGTCTCTGAGAATCTAGGCGTCCCTGGAGGCCAGCAGTGCAGCCCCTGACCACACTCAGGGCCACAGGCCTGCAGGGTGGCCCATGGAGATGGGCTGCTGGGTGCCGAGCCCTCCTCAGGGCTCCCCCCCCCCCCCCACGCTCACGCTCACGGAGCTGCAGCCCACCCCCCCCCCACGGCCTAGGGGAGGCCCGGATGGCAAAGCGCCCAGCCCTGATGCATCCCTCTCCTCCCTGAAGCGCCTCAGGGCATCTCCTGTCTTCCTCTCCACCCAGGGATGCGCTTGTTCAACACAAGAGGAGTAGCGATTAGCGGTTTATTGAGTGGCTTGAGTGGCGGCCTGAGCTGAATGTCTGCCCCTCCCCCTCCTGCCAGGGCCCAGCCTCCCCCGGAGGAGGGAGGGGCTGTGAGAAGAATGACCCCACTTGCTGCCCCCGGTTTGGTCTCCTCTCCAGACCCCTAGCCATGGCAGCACGCGTTGGGGAGGCATCGGTGGAGAGGGAGACTGTGCTGGGTAGGGGGTAGGGGGTAAGAGGGATGGGGGGTGGGGATTGGGAGTGGGGGGGTGTGCGGGCAGTAGGCAGCGTAGAGGCACCTCATTGAATAGCGTGGTCTTCCCGCCCAGCACACTCCCCCCCCACCCTCCACCCCCCTGGCGCTGACTACCCATCGCCAGGGGATTCAAAATTACAGAACTAACGGGCTCTGCAGGTAAATGGTGTTCTGCAGGGCAGCTGGGCCTGGGACTCCATTGTCAGGGAATTGCACATCTCAGAGAGAGAATGTTCTGGCTCAAGTCCCGCCAGCCAGGAGAGCCGCCCTGCGGGACTGCAGACCCAGAGTGGGTGTGGGAGCCCAGGGACGATGCCAAGACCCTAAGAAGCCTCCCTCTGTCATGGCCACGGGCTGAAGGTCTGCCAGATTGGGCCTGGACAGGGAGGGCCAGGGCAGGGCACAGCAACAGTCTCTCCTGGATGGGCCCCCGCGGGTGGGAAGTGAGGGCTGGGCCAGGCACCCACTGCTCGCAGCATGGGGCCAGGGCTTGGAGAGCAGGGCCCATCCTGAGGGCAGCAGGGCCTGATAGGAGGCAGGCTGGTCCCATGTGGCAGCCATCTCTAGTCCCACTGAAGAGAAAGGTGGGGGTCGGGGAGAGAAGCTCACTTGTCTCCCACCCCCGTGATGCTTGGCTTCTGAGCAGAACGAAGACCGTGACCATTAGAAACCGGAAGTGGGAGAGCGGCCTGGGTGGAGTGTGGCCAAGGGGAAGGGGGGGGTGGCCAGGATGGCCCTGGGGGCGGGCAGAGGGCTGGGGACGGCAGGCACAGCACCAGCCTTCCTGCAGCCGCGACAGTAGCAAGAGCAGCAGGGTCAGCGGGAGGGGGTGCCTCGTTCCCTCTGGAGCTCACGGGGCCTCGTTGGAGCCAACCCCGTTGCCTTTGTTGACGTAGAATGGCCGGTGGTGAGACTGCGGGAACAAGAGTAGTTAGGGGTGCACATGGCGGGGACCCCATTAGCCAGACCCACCCCACCCTAACCCCAGGAAGCAGCAGTGGTCTGAACCCCAACAATCCTATGAGCTGTGGCCTAACCTGCAAGCTCGATCTATGCTGTGATCAGGATCGGGCGCCCATGTCAGTTTCCAGGCTCAAATCCTAATTAGAGTTTATTTCCCTCCATTGGTTGGTGAGCTTGAACTTCAGCCCCTCGTCCAATTCCCTGCATGGCCCAGGGCCTCCCAGCCATTGCAGGGCTCTCTACTCAGCAGAGCCACAGGCGCTGCTCACACACGGACTTGTGGGATTGCCGCCGCCGCCCGTTACCTGGGCTACTGCTCTCACGCCCACCCTCCAGGGGAACAAACCGAGGCGCTGCCAGGCTGAGCGCTTTGCCCGGTCACAGCTGGTAAGTGGAACCAGGTCGCCAGGCCCAGCAGGCCGGTCCGTGCACCCACCGTCCCCACCCATTTCTCCAAACCACTCCCGGGTCTCGAGGGCTTTGCCTGGATCTCCTGACAGAGGCGGTAGAGAGAGGCCTGCACCCGCCCCAGCCCAGCAGGGACCACGGCCCGTCTCAGCCCCTCCTCTTCCATCCTGGCTCCTCCTCAGGACTCAGGAAGCACCTCTCAGGACAGAGCCAGGGACCCTCTCCGGCCAGGTCTGTGCGTGACATCCAGCAGCGACTTCACATCGTCAGCGCCACCCTCGCTTCCTAGGCCCTGGCAAGCACTGGGACCCTGACCCTGACCCTGGCCCGGGAGACACCAGGTGCCCCCAGGCCTGTCCTTGGCCTTGCCAGCTTAGACCCTGTATTTCCTCGGACTCCTTGCTGAGCCCGGTCCCCAGCAGGCCTGGGGCCTGGGGAATGCGGGGCTGAGGCCTCGGCTCGTGCCTCAGGGACCCCATCTATAGGCAAGGGAAGAGATGGAGGCCAGGGAGGGGATGACAGGCAAGGCACACAGCCACTGAGCTACAGCGTCTGGACCAGGTCTCTGGACCCCCAGGTGCCCACTGGACCCCAAGCCTTCAATACAGCAAAGGGAATGGCCTGGCCGTGGCTGCGCCGTTCAGGGAGGCGGGTCAGTAAGACGGGCCGCGGTCAGTGAACAGTGCTGTCTCTGTAGCCCCGAGCGGGGGTGGTGGAGACACACAGCCCAGGCACCCGGCAGGGTGTGCTCCCCCCGCACCCCCATTCCCTCTCTGGGTCGCAGTCACAGCCTGTGAGGGTTGGAAGAGCTATGACATCATCCCAGCATCTGACTCATGTTACAGATGGGGAGACTAAGGCACCGAGGAAGAGTGGCTCCCATGAGGTCACATGGCAGGTGGTGAGAGGCCTGGGGCCAGCTGCCAGGCCGCCCAGCCCCTTCCCTGGGTGTAGAATTACCCGCCTCTTCTCCCAGCTCTGGGCGCAGCTGCAGGCACCAGGACCCAGCCCAGCCCGGCATCTGGAGGTGCCATGAGCCCCCTCCACTGAGATGCGGCTCTGGGACATGGGGGACGGGGAGGGGGGATGGGGGCTGGGCCCAGGAACAGGGGCTTCGACTTCCCCTCACTTGCTTTGGGCACCTACTGCGGCAGTGGCCTGGGCCCGGCTCTACGGCACATGCACCGTCACTCAGCTCCAATGGCCAGGAAGTTCAAGGGCCTCCCTCCCAACTAACCAGCCTCTTCCCTCCTGTGGCCCAGGTCCGCCCGCCCCGTGCTCTGACCTCCCTGTGCAAAGGCAGCAGAAGCAGCCTGTCCTCAGCAGGTGCGCCCAACTCCCAGGGCAGCGGGCTGACCCCTGCAGGGCTGGCCTGGCCTCCATGGAGAAGCCTGTGGAGACGTGCACAGCGTTTGAAGGTCTGATCGCTGAGGTCTGTGCAGGGCCCGGCATGTCTGCTACCGAAACCTAAACACATCTGTTCCTAAGTTTGCAGACGCTGCCTCAGCTCTCCCACTGCCTTGCCAGGATGCCCGTCCCAGGCTGAGCATGTCACTCCCAGAGCTGGCAGCAAAGCCGCCATTCAGCAAGCACGGGTGCCCAGCAGCCATCTGCCAAATATCAGCCAAGGCCGCCCGTTTTACAGATGAGAAAACTGAGGCTCAGCAAGTCCATGCTGACTTCCGTCCCCGCCTGTGAGCCCTGGGTTCCTACTGCCCTTTGCTGTGTGCAGGTCCTCGGCCACTGCTGCCTCCTCCCGCCCATGGCCTGGAGATGCCACCGTCCCCCCACAGGCCCCAGGCAAGTGACGAGCTGTCACTGGGGAGCCCCATTTAGCACCCCATCTGGCCATGTCTGGCCCGGACGGCTCTCCGCAGGGCTCCTCACTCACCAGCAAAGTCTGTTTGCCAGATTTCCAAGTCTGGGGCTGGACCTTGGGGCTCTGGCTCCGCATGAGGGAGGGGTAGCCTGGGAAGACAGAGGCTGTGGTCAGAGGAGGCCCTGCACGCTGGGAGCCCCCAGGGCACGGACCCATCTCCAGAGAGACCGCCAAGCTCCACCCAGCCCGTTACCAAGGAGAGCCACCTGAGGAGGTGTGCACCCCCGGGGGCCCGCTGGGGAAACCTGGGAGGCTGGCCAAAGGGAGGGGGCCCAAGGCAGACAGAAAGAGAAGGAGCAGGCGAGGTGGGCTGGGCCAGGCAGCAGGGGAGTGTCCCCCCAATCCAGGTCAGGGTCACCCCACTCTGTGGGAATTTTCTCCCCCTCCCCCATCCCCCCACCCCCGTCCTGAAGCCTCACCCCCCCCCCCCCCCAGAGCCCAGGAAAGCCTCTTCAGAGCACAGCCTGCCGGGCTCCACAGGAGGCCCCCAGCCCGTGCTGCACGGAGACGGATGTGCCCTCACTGATTGGCCCACTGGGCTCCGTGGGCCTCACTGAGCCCGCCCTATCTCTGTGCGCCTGGCAGGAGCAGAGCCAGAGAAAGACCAGGCTGAGGCCTGGAAGCGAAGGGACTCAGGAAGTCAGCAGGCCCTGCCTGGCCGGGGGCTCAGCAGGTGAGCCTCATCCCGGGCACCAAAGGGTTGTGGGTTCGATTCCTCTTTGGGGCACATACCTAGGTTGCAGGTTCTACCCCTGATCAGGGCATGTGTGGGAGGCAACTGATTAAGGTTTCTCTCACATTGATGTTTCTCTTTCTTGCTCTCTCTCCCCTTCTCTCTAAAAATCAATAAACGTAACTTTGCGTGATGTTTATAGTGTGGGATTCATGAGGCCAAACAATTAAAAAAGAAAGAAAGCCTGGCCCGTGTGGCTCAGGGGTTGAGCAGTGACCTATGAACCAGGAGGTCACAGTTCAATTCCCGGTCAGGGCACAGGCCCGGGCTGCGGGCTCGATCCCCACTGTGGGGTGTGCAGGAGGCGGCCGATCATTGATGTTTCTCTCTCTCCTTCTCCCTTCCTCTCTAAAATCAATAAAAAAAAACACAAAACATTAAAAATTAAAAAAAAAGAAATCACGTCTGTCCCTGGCGAAGGCCACCGAGAGCCCTCAGGCTGTTCGAAGGGACAAAAGCTGGTCAGACCCAGAAGCCACCGGCAGCACCGGCAGGATGCTAGCCAGCTGCCCTTCCTTGGCGGGCACTGGGTGAGGGCAGAGACGAAGCAGAGACCCTAGGCTCCGCCTGCACCTGGGGCGGGACAGCCTTGCAAAGAGAGGGTCCTGCTGACCCTGAGCGGGAGCCGTTACCAGGAAGAAAACCCCGCACCAGCCGGGAGAGGGGGCCGGGGCGCAGGAGGCGTAGGGCAGCAGGGGGACAGTGGGCACCCACGCTCTCCCGTGTGGGAGAGAGGGGCGGGACGGACAGGTACCGGGACTAATTTTAAACAGCTCATTGGTGTCCGCCGGCTTGGGGAACTCTGAGGTGGCCTGTCCCAAGGTGGGGAAGTGGTAGGGGGGCCGCCCGGGGCCTGCTGGGAGAGAGAGACATTAGCAGCGGGCGTTTCAGGGGCCGCCTTCCACAGCCCAAGCTCTCTGCCTCCTGAGCTGCTGCGCCAGCTGCGGGCGGGGCTGGTCCTGGGCGGGGTCTCCTTGCTCACAGGCAGCCCTGCCTCCCTCCAGGGCCTTCCCAGGGGGCTGGTGAGCTGATCTGTGGAGGTGACGCAGGTGTCCCAGGTTTCCTGGAGGACACAGTGCATGGGAGGGGGCTCCCCTGAGGTCAGGCCGACCGGAGGCTCTGTGGGCAGGTGAGGAGACACTGGGGAGCAGGACACCCCACCTGACACCTGCCGGGCAGCCTGTGACTGGGCCTGACCGCAGAGCAGGGAGGGACCCGTTAGAAGCCAGACAGGCCACAGGGACCCCAGTTCCCCAGCTCCTGCCGGCGGGGACCCTTCACCTGGCTGATCGCTCCTGGAAGAGGGGGCTGGAGGATGGAGCTGCCTTCAGAGGCCGCTGCCTGGATGTGTGCCCACCCTGCGATCCTCGCCTCCCGCCCCCCTAGAGCCCCGCCCCCCCATCCGCCATCCTGTCTTCCAGGCCAGGCATCCTCGGTGCGGACAGGGGGTGGGCTCCCTGCACCAGGGCTCACCAAGCCTGAACATCGCCAGAGACGCAAGGGCCTGGGCCCATTGTGAGGGGTTTGGCACGAGCCTCCCCTCAAAGCGACCTGCCTCCAGGGGCCGGAGGGCTGACTGTGCAGCCGTGTGGAGCCCGGGGAGCAAATCAGAAATGGAGGCCCTGGAGGTCCTCGTGCCCACTTTCCCCAACGCAGCTCGCGGGCTTTGGCTCTGCGGACCGGCACCAGGTGCCGCCTGGCCACAGGACTCAGCTCGCCCAGCAGGGGTCACGGGTGAGCATAGGGAAGGCAGCGCTCTGCAGTAGGGAGACGTGGGGCTCAGCCCCCACACACCTGGGATGGGGGGAGGAGGGGTGTGGAGGGTGTGACCTGGCCCCATCGCCCCACAGGGGACAGTGCGATTAAACAGTCCCCAGAACGCTGCCTGGCCAGCTGCCTGGCGGTGGGGAGGGAGAGGGGCTCAGGCCCTGGGAGGCGAGGGCCTGGCGAGTGAGGAGCAGGGTGGGTGCAGGGCTACCTGTGGCGGGGGAGGCGGGAGCAGGGCTCAGCTCACCTTTCAGAGAGAAGGAGGAGCTGCCTTGGACCCCGGGCAGGGGCAGGTCCTCGGGGCCCTGCACGGTGGAGGAGTACTCCCAGACTCGAGACGTGTAGTTACCTGGGCGGCAAAGGGAAGGGTCAGGCCACAGCGGTCGGCCCGGGGCCAGAGCCAGGACGAGGCCATTCCTGTGCCTGTCCAGTCCTCGCCGTGTCTCAAGTCAGGAGGATGCTGGGCCCACTCACCTCCTGCCAGTCAAAGCTGTCCTTCTGAACTGGGAAGTGCTGCGCCCTGCTGTCCCCGCAGGCCCCCGGCTGTCCGGCTTTCCGGTGAAGGTGCAAAGCCCACGCTACACGGCCTGCCGTTCTCCCGGCTGCTGCCCACCTCTCACCACCGCCTCCACCTCCTGGCTCCCCCTCGTGCCCTCTCCATCGCTCATCACTCCACCTCTGCACTCGGCGTTCCTCATACACTGCAGGCTCCCTCTTGCCCTAGCTTTTTGCACAGAACAGGCCTGGGGTACTCCCCATGCACCCCACTCTCAGCAAATCCATGTGTTGGTCTTCCATGTCACCTCCCCAGTCCGTGTGAGCTCAGCCACGCCCCCCTCACCACCCGCCTGCTGGTGTCAGCTGTCTGTCTCCCCACTGGGCTCCGAGGGCAGCATGGCACCCGTGCCCGGCACAGAGCCTGGTCCCCGAAGGGGCTCCTTGGATGGCTGACAGATGAAATGAACAAATAAATGCAAACACGGGCTAAACTTCAGAGACAGAGCAGCTGCTACACCTCCCGGCACTCTGCGCGCCAGGTGGGGCAGCTGACACGTGTCCATCTGCGAGCATGTCCCTGCAGCCTGGAGAGAAGGAGGCAGTGGGGGACATGCAGGACAGTGGGGGTTCTCAGCCCCTCTGGAAAAGGCCCCCTCCTCTGGCCCCTCCCATCCAGCACGCAGGGTCCCAGTCCTGAGATTTCCCACTGTTGCCTGAAGGGGGGTCTGGGGCTCAGCAGTCAGAGGGGCTGGCTGTCCACCTGCTGTAGGTGAGCCCCGCCCACAGGGTGCCCAGGAAGTCTGCAGTCTGGCCCTCAGCCAGCACGTCCGCCCAAGGCTCTCAGGCCCATGGGCCTGGCCCGTCATTCCCTCACTCATCTGTTCTCTCTCTCTCTCTCTCTCTCTCTCTCTCTCTCTCTCTCTTTCTCCCCACCCCCCGCCCCGAGTCCCTTCGGGCCGAGGTGGCAGCCGTGACAGCCAGACCGAGCTTGGCCTCACAGTCTGCTGTGTGCGCGATGGTGCAATGGGGGCCAGTCCTGGACGTGAGCCCGGGCGCTGCCCCGTCCAGGGGGCCTGCCTCCAGATCTCCAGGACTCGCTTTCTCTGAAGAGGCCCCGACTGGCCTCAGCAGCCTGGCTCTGTGCCGGGGGCTGGGAGCTGGCTCAGTCTCCCCCACGCCCTCTGCACGGGGCTGGGCAGCACCAGGGGCCCCAGGAGGCACCAGGCCTCCCAGCTGGGCCCCTCCAAGCCCACTGCCCGCCCTCGGCATGAGGTCCACCGCGGCACCTGGGCAGAGGCTTGGCACCTGGCTGTCCCCGGGAGGCCAGGGCTCCGTTCCATCTCGTCTCTCCTGGGCCGAAGGGCATGCCACCCTCCCCTCTCATGGCAGGGTACCTCCCTGACGCCTGGGCGGGCCCACTCCTCCCCGTGCCACCCTGCCACTTACAGCAACAGGAGTTGGGCTTCACGCAGATTCGCAAGGTCCCTGTGCCCCAATCCGCGCTGAAGGGCGTCCCCACACCCATACAGGCCCCAGTTCCCCTGCTTGTCCCCAAGCAGAAGGCCCCGGACTCAGGGTTCCCAGGGAGGCCCCTGCTCCCTGCAGCCTGAGTCACAGTGTCTCACACAGGCACACTCACCCTTTACCCTCAGCAGGACCCTCTGGTCCACCTCTGAGCTCACAACCCCTCCCCAATCCTCCTTCACCTTGGATTGGGAAGCCCAGGACACTGCCCACCTCGCCCTGAGCCCCGCCCACCTTGCCCTTAGTCCCGCCCCTACCTTTGGTGCCATAGAGATTACTGAAGTTCTTCTGGTTGATGTCCTTGGGGAGGCGGCTGGGGGACACAGGCTGGTACGACGTCCTGGCGCCCCCTGGGAAGCAAAGGGGAAGAGCTGTCATCGCAGAAGGTGGGGCGGCTTACTCAGGGCGGCACCTCTGACCTGAAGGGCCCCCAGCGCCTGTCCCCGGGCCCAGATGCCACTACGACAGCTCATTGGGGGCTGGAATAAAGTGATATGTCATTTACCCCCGAGCCCCAAGCCGGGACACTTTCCTAACCGTGCCAAGAGCACCAGGTGTGGCTGGCCAGCCCTGGACACAGGGATGCATCTGGCCACCTGCTCGAGGCTGAGGGTCACCAGGGGCTGGAGAGGCCCACATGCCACCCGGGCCAGTCCCCTATGGCTGCCACCCCGAGGCTGGGACACCGGCTCCTGTGAGGACGGGTGGCCACGGGGACTGTGAGGTGCTGGACGGAGGCCCCGGGCCAGGAGAGGGTCCTCTGCCCCCCACCCCGATGTGGCCTCTGGCATCAGTCTGGAGAGGGAGGCGGACTGGGACATACACCCCTTTACAGACGAAAGAACACACCCCTGCCTGGCCGGGGGGCTCGGTGGCTGAGTCGGCCTAGGAACCAGGAGGTCAGGGTTCCATTCCCAGTCAGGGCACAGGCCTGGGCTGTGGGCTCGATCCCCAGGGTGGGGCGTGCAGGAGGCAGCCGATCATGATTCTCTCTCATCATGGATGTTTCTCTCTCTCCCTTCCTCTCTGAAATCAATAAAATATATTTTTTTAAAAAAGAAAGCACGCTCAGGTCCTTCTGTGGGCCCTCCCTCTGCAGAGCCCGCCTGTCGGGTTCCAGCCCCTGCCCAGCCCCTGCCCAGCCCCTGCCCAGTCCCTGCCCAGTCCCTGCCCAGCCCCTGCCCAGCCCCTGCTGGTCCTCCCTCCGACCCTCCCACCTGCAGTGCTCGCACCTCTCTCCAGGGCCCTCGGCCTTCACGCCAGGCCCTCTGCCCTGAGCCCACTGCCTCTGCCGGGCCCTGGAGACCGCCCCTCCTGGGAGCCTGACTGACCAGCCCACTGCCTGGAGCCCCCAGACTCCAGCGGGCAGCCCTCCGGGGACCATGCCTCCTGAGTCTCTGACCCTCCTTGGCCCAGAGGGCACATCTCCTCCTGTTCCAGGGCAGGCGGGGCTGGGCACGGGGTCGGAGGTTGGGGGGCACCTGCTTCTCCCCGGCAGATGCCCAGCCTCATGCACAGGGCCAAGAGGATCCCTCCCGGCTCCTCTCTTCTCAGACAGGGACAGAAGGGTGGTGACAGTCAGGCTGTCAGGGGACACGGTGGGGTGCTCTGCCCTCCCTCCCCATCACTGCCCTCCTCCTCGCAGCCTGCGGGGAGCTGCCCTCCCCACCGTTGTCCACAGAATGGGGGGGCAGAGCAGGGGCAACTCGGGGCTCAATGCCCAGAGGCCCGGGGAGCGAGGAGAGAGGCCAGGTGGGGAGCTGGCATCTCAGAGTTGTGCCCAAAGGGCAGCATCGGGGTTGGGGGTTCGGGGGGCAGGACTAGCTGTCCACACCAGGACTGTGGGGGTGGGGTCAGGTGCGGCTGCCTCGCCAGGCCTCCACCTGAAGTCCAGGTGCTGTTTTTTCATTGGGTGGGGTGGCTACTCTGAACTGAGCTCATCCCTCCCACCCCTGCACCCCACCCAGTGTGTGTCCCAGCGGGTGAGTCAGTGCAGGGCTGAGGCCTCCTCCACGCATCCTTTCTGCCTCTCCCCACATGTATTCTCCCCCAACATGTGCCTGCACACCCCTCCCCCTCACATACCTGCACCCCCTCCCCCACACACGCCTGCACCCCTTCCCATGCCTGCACCCCTCCCTCTCCCATGCCTGCACCCCTCCCCCTTACATGCCTGCGCCCCCTCCCCCTCCCATGCTTGTACCCCTCCCTCTCACATGCCTGCACCCCTCCCCCTCACATGCCTGCACCCCTCCCACACACATGCCTGCACCCCTCCCCCTCACATGCCTGCACCCCTCCCCCTCCCATGCCTGCACCCCTCCCCCACACATGCCTGCACCCCTCCCACACACATGCCTGCACCCCTCCCCCTCCCATGCCTGCACACCCTCCCCCACACATGCCTGCACCCCTCCCTCTGAGGCTGGCAGGCCACACCCACCTTACGTAATGGGCATTGTTGTGGTGCCAAAGAATGTGACAGGCTCCCACAGGGCAAGGACAGGCAGGCACTGGTCTGCACCCCACCCAGCGGCACCACCTCTCAGGGCCTGGGTAGGGCTGGGCCCACAGAGGGAGGGAGAGCAACCCTGTCTCCATGCCCTGAGGAGCGGGATGATGCAAACTGCAAACACCCAGGCAGAATCCCACACAGCGAGGCCTGGCAGGGGGAGGGGAGACCAGCAGCCAGGAACCTGCTGGAGGAGCGAGAGGAAGGGTGGGGGCTGGCGGTGAGGGAAGGTGGGGACCCCTGGGTCCTGAGGAGGGAAGCCCCTGAGGAACAGGGTGCCAGGTCATAGGTCATCCGAACAGGAGGCACATGCTGAGATGGTCCCAGGCAAACAGGAAGTGCCCTCGCCCACCCAGGGAGCCTGCGAGTCCTTCCAGGAAGCAGCGGGTGCCTTACCCTTGGGCGTGAGGTACATGGAATACCGCTTCATGGTGTCGGGCGTGCTCCAGTCGCTGGCGTAGCTGCTGGTGTAGTTGCTCATGTAGCGATGGTCAACCCCTGGAAGGAAGGAGCAAGGTCGGTCAGCGGAGGGGCTGTGGGGAGCAGCTGCCCAGGGGCACCCCAGCCTTGCTGAGGCCGTGCCCTGCCACCGCTGTCCCCGGGGAGGCGGGGCTCCCCAGCATCAGAGAAGGTAACACCTGCCGCACCCCCTCTGCTGGGGGCAGGGGCCTCGGTGCACAGACCTGCATCTGCCAGGTGCTGCCAGCTCCCCTCCCCATCCGACAGGCACCGCGGCCCTGGGCCCCCTCCCCTCCGCAGGTGGTGGGTGAGGACCTGGGCTCAGGACGTCACTTGCTCCATATGTCTGGGCCAGTGAGGACAGAGGGGGGCGAGCCCAGCCTCCCCCTGCTGCCGCTCACTCACTGGCTGCTGGCTGCTGGCTGCTGGCTGGGGCGGGCTGATGCCCTGGCTGGTCCCCGGCTGGGCCTGAGCTGTGTGCAGAGCGAGCTCTCGGAATGGGCATGATGCCTCCCTGCCCGCCAGCCCGCCCCTCCCTCCTCAAACCGAAGCCAATGTGTGGCTCCTGCTTGCCTCCCAGCCCCCTCCTTCCCACTCCCTCTTCTCACTCCTTCCCTCTCCCATGTCCCCCTGCCCTTCCCGTGGCCTCCATCCTGGGCAGAGGGAAGAGTGGCTCGTCCCTCATTCTGCACCTGTCACCTGTGCCCAGCAGCCCTGGCACGCAGGGGGCATCCATGACAACCCCTGGGTGTGGCTCAGCCCTTCCCCAAGCCCAGGATGAAGATGGCTGGTGCCCGCAGCCCGCAGGCCTCTGACGGCAGAATGAGACCCTGGCCTGTGGGCGGCCGGCCTCAGGCAGGAGGACGGTCACTAGGGTCTCCCCACCTCCCACAGCCGAACACGTTCCCAGCAACACTGTGGCCGCAACAAGCACCAACACGGAGGCCAGGGCCCCGGGCACAGGTGCAGGCTGCTGACGTCAGAGGCTCCGTCGCTGCTCCCGGGAGCCGCCCCTCCACACCCGCAGGGGGCACAGGCCACACCTGCACAGAGGCCGTGGCCGACACAACCGTGACCTAGTAATGGCCAGTGGGTGGGTGGCAGGCCACTGGGTCCATCAGGCCAACTTCACCTCCCCGAAGCGGGCACCCGGGGCTGTGGCCACCACACGCTCCCGCCCTCCGCGTGGTGCCCGCAGCCCTTCTCGGAGGAGATGAGGGGGGAGTGGGTCAGAGCGGAGAGCTGGCTGCCTGCGGAGCGGGCGCCTGTGAGAAGCTGCTCCCTGAGCCTCGGCCCTGGCCTGGGAGACGCACACAGCTGCCCGGAGCTCAGATGCTGGGGGTGGCGAGCAGGCGGAGGCCCTCAGTCTCCCGCCGTCACCACTGGTGACATCGCCATCATCACTAGCAGGAGGGTTTCGGGACCGAGTGCCACCAAAGCCAAGTGCTCGTCTCGCTGCCATGGTTCACCAGTCCTCAGAGGGACACCGTGGGATGCCACCACCCAGACACGCAGGGCCCCGCGGGCCTGGCCCCTCTGCACACCCCACACCGCACACGCTGCGCCTGGCGCCTCCTCGGGCGCCTGGGGCCAGAGGCCGTTCGTCAGGCAGTGTCCCCAGGCCGGGCCAGGCCCAGGACCAGACGGGGCTCTGGGGAAAGTGCCCAGGCGTCGGGCCCTAAAGCGACGGGGCTGGGATGGGGGTGCGGGAAGCGGGGGGGGGGGGGGGGGGTGAGGGGGTCTCGGCAGAGTAGTTCTCAGGGTCGGGGCTTTCTGGAAGGTTATTCAGTGGCCTCTGTGGGTGGAGCATGATTCAGAAGAGACGCTGCCGTCAGGAGAGCTGTGAGTCACCAGGACATGCTGTGTCCCGCTGGCCCCCAGGCCCAGCCCAGCCTCTGAGCGCGGAGGACTCGGCACAGGTGACGGGCAGGCTCTCTCTCCAGCCCAGGTGCGGCTCTAGGCCCACCTCCTGAGGTCTGCAGAGCCCTTACAAGCATCAGCACAGCCCACCCGGCATGGCTCAGGGGTTGAGCGTCGACTTACGAACCAGGAGGTCATAGTTCGATCCCAGTCAGGGCTCATGCCCGGGTCGTGGATCCGGTCCCCAGTGGGGGCCGTGCAGGAGGCAGCCAACCCATGACTCCCTCTCATCATTGATGTTTCTCTCTCCCTCTCCCTTCCTCTCTGCATCAATAAAATAGTTTTTAAAAAAGAAGGGCAGCACCCACCCAGCTGCTGGACGGGGCTGGCAGCAGAGGCCCCTGCCCGGAGACCCCTTGCAGAGGCTGCCCACCTTTGGCAGCAAGTTCAAAGGGGACTGCACTCCCGGCATCTAGTACCAATACCACAGGTGCAGTGGTGGCTGGGGGCAACAAGGGCCATCGGTGGGTGCCAGCCGCACAGGCAGCCAGGACTGACTGGGAGGAAAGTGCCCACGGCCGCGGGTTGCCCGCGAGGGACCCACCGTTCTCCGCGTGGCTCCTCTCGATGAAGCTGCGGCTCAGGTCGGCCTTGCACATCTTCTCCACGTGGCGCATGCACACGTTCAGCAGGTCGTCCCTGCAGTTGCCTAGCGCCTGCCCCAGGCCCTCCCCCTCCAGCAGCACACGGTAGCTGGGCAGGGGCGGGGGCAGGGAGTAATTGCTCATCAAAGCGCCAAATTCCTGCAAGGAGGGAAAGCAGCCCTTAGGGGGGGAGGGGGGAAGAGTCTTGGAAGTGGGGGGAGCCCTCTCAGGGGCTGTCACAGTGAAGCTGGCAGGTCCCACACCGGAGCAAGAAGAGCCGGGGTTAGACCCAGCGCTGCTATTAAACAGCCCATTTCTCTTCCGGGAAATGGAAGAGTTTGGCCCTGGCCAGTGTGGCTCCGTGGATAGAGAGTCGGCCTGTGGACTGAAGGGTCCTGGGTTTGATTCTGGTCAGGGCACAATTCCCAGTGGGGGGAGTGCAGGAGGCAGCTGATCAATGATTCTCTCTCATCATTGATGTTTCTGTCTCTCTCTCCCTTCTTCTCTGAAATCAATAAAAATATATTTTATAATAAAAATTTTTAAAGAAAGATCCAGGACAACAACTGTGCAACACTTCTCTGCCACAATCCACAGCCCAAGCAGGCATCACTAATCCATCACCGAGCTCCTTCCTGCTGGACGGGGGCACTGCTCAAGGGTGCCAGGCGGCACTGGGTGCCATCCTTGGATTCGGCAGTGAAAGGGCTTGGGTGGGAGAATTAAGGGGAGAGGTGGGCTGGAGCGTGGATGGATGAGTGACGGATGCATGGGAAGGTGGATGGATGACCAGTGAGGCCTAGAAGGGGGGGAGAGGAGAGGGCAGATGGGGGCTCCTGGCACCTGCAGGAAGAGCACCGAGTCGCTGATGCTGTGCAGCTGCTCCCGGGTCTGCTTGTCCTCCTGCAGCACCTGGGCCCGCTGGTCCAGGGCATCCACGATCACCTTCACCTGGCCCACGGCATCCTGCTCCCGCTGCTCCAGCGCGGCCCGCACCTCCTCCTTCTGCTTCTCCAGGTCCCGCACCAGCTCCCGGAAGCTCTGCTCCAAGATGGCCTTCTCGTTGGTGGTGAAGCTCTGGGGGCAGAGCGAGGGCGCCAAGGGAGGAGGCATCAGTCACTGACACCTCCCTGGGCCTTTAGGTTCCAACACAGAGTCCGGTCGCTCCCACCCGAGAGCCTGGTTGGCCCAGAAGCTCCCTGGAGGCCTCTTGGAGAAAGGCCAGTTCTGACGGAGGTGGCCAGTGTTTACAGCCGCTGTTCCTGATCCACCGGTGGCCCCACCGCCACCATCGTTCCTCCCCGCCTCGGTGGGCAATGCTGCGGGCCCCAGAGTGCCCGTGAGTCAGGCTGCGCTCCCTGGAACCTCAACCAGGACCCAGCACCACCAGAAAGTGAACTGATGGATGTGTATGTGGCAGGGTCATGGGTCAGATGTGGTCTGCAATGACTCAGACCGTGGCACATGGGCATCTAACCTCCCCGGCACAGTGAACGGGGAATGGCAAGCCTTTGGCAGCTGGTGGCCTGAGCAGACAATGGGACATTGGAAGGTGGGTGGTTCGAGAGCCTGTCTGTCCTGGAATGATGTCACGTGAGTGTCAGGTGATGGGTCAGACCCACTTGTACCCCTGACCCCGACTGAGAAGAGGAATTGGCGAGAACGCCAAAGGGAGTGGGGAAATCGGGAAAAACCCAATGTGGGGAGTCCGTGTAGGGCTGAGGCCGCCCACAGAGGCCGCCTCCGCCGGGGAAGGGAGAGGCAGCGGCGCCGGGCGGCTCACCTTGATGCGGTCCTTCTCCTTCTGCCACTTGTCTGCTTCGTCCTCGAGCTCGATGACCTTGAGCTGCAGCTGCTCCTTCTGCAGGGACAGCTCTGTCTGCAGGGAGGGCCGGGTGGGAGGAGACGTCAGGGGGTGGTGGGAGAAGTGGGGAGCGGGCCCGCCCGGGGAGCAAACTCAACAGGCTCACTCCTCACCCATCCAGTCCTTCGTTCAGCAAACCAGCACCCAGACCTGGCCAAGGATCCAGAAACACGCTCCAAACACCCGGGTCTGTGGGGTCGAGCATCCCAGCCCTGTCTTCACAGGGCTAAGCTTCTGCAAGGCCCTCCAGCCAAGGTGAGCAGGAGGGAGGCCCAGATATGGAGTCCCCACTCCTGCCAGTGGGCCTGGGGCCATAAGAAGAGGGAGGAGAGCTACGGGGAGGTGGGGACCCAGCCCAGTCCAGGGAGTCCAGGGCACAGCAGGCGGCACATTCTCAGGGCCTGACATGGGCCTGCGCTGTGAGCGGGAGCCAGACCCGCTGCTGGCGGCAGGCACAGCTGTGGCCCTGCTCACGGGCAAGGGGGTGCCGTCTGCCTGTGGACAAGATAGAAACTTGATTCTGGGCAGGAAGAGGCTCGTGTGTGAGGCAGTGGTGGGCGGGTGGAGGGAACAGGAGAGGTTCCAGGGGCCCCTGACCAGGGGGAGATCAAGGCTGTTGAGATCGGGGGTGCGCTGGGAAGAGGATGTATCGGGAATGTGCTGGGACATGAGCTCTCCTACCCATACGTCCCTTCCCTTTGGGAAAAGAGATCTCACTTTGAAAAGCAGCTACAACCAAGACAGAAGGGGAGGCTTGGAGCAAGGCCGGCCCCATTCAGCTGAGCCAACGGGCAGCTGGCGGGCCCGAGGGCTTCCCAGGATGCTCTCCAAGCCCCTCCTGCTTGGGGGTAGGTGGCTGGTCCCCACCCGGCAGGCAGGCAGAAGGAACAGGCACCTGAAAGCTTGGGGTACACCCGGTCCCCCGTCCCTGGGCGTTACATGCAGAGCCACCCCTTCTGCAGCCATCTCTCTGAGGAGCATGAAGTCGCCACAAACGGCCGGGAATGTGTCTCTATCGGCTGGAGTCTGAGCAGCCACGACCTCCACACGTCACACCTGGACGCTCCCCGCACCGAGCGGTGCTGCCGGGAACCACTGCAGACACCGGCCGTGGGCCGAGGTGGGGAGCGCTCCCGGGTGGTCTGGAAAGGGTGCCCGAGGGCTGGGCTTTCCAGCTGCGACTCTAGTTCCTCTCAGAACGCACCTGCCCAGCCAGCGATGCGCTGGAGACCCCGGGGCAGGGACACGCTCACCAGGGCCGGCGTGGTTGCGGGAGGAGGCAAGTAAGGGGAGGGGAGTGCAGGGTTTGGCTGGGGTCTGGAGAAAAGCTGTGGGGAAGCCACTGCCACAGACACAGAGGCAGGAAGACAGAGCCCAGGGAGCGGCCTCACACAGGCCCAGCGGGGGCCCAGGCCGAGCCCGTGCACAGCAGGCTCAGCCCTCATGCTCTCAGGGGTGGAGCTTGCCGAGCCCTGGCCTGGAGACCCCATGGAGTCTGGGCCTGGTGGGCAGACCGAGCTGGGAGGAAGGGACCATGAGGTTGGACGGGGCCCGTCCCAGGCGGCTTCCCACCCCTGGAGAATTCCTGTCTGTACCAGGCTGAAGGGGCAGGGGAGGCCTGCCCCACGGCGCAGAGCGTTGTTGCTGGCTCAGGAATGGAGGAGCTGGCCTTGAGTTTCTCCCCCTCCACCCCCACACAGGCCTGACAGACAGGAGAGCAGAGAATAAAAGTGCAAGCAGCGTGCACTCAGCCTGGAGCCTGGGCATCCAGGAGGGGCCCGCCCAGAGCACGGGACAGGCATCGGAAGACTTAAATCCAGGCCCTGTCACCTGCAGGCAGGGCCCTCGCAGCTCCCCTGGCACACACCCCACCTTTCATGGAGGCGGGTAGAGGGCTGCCTCCAGGGGCTGTGGGGTCCCGGGATCAGGAAAGGGAAGCTCTCGGCAGGTGCCAGGGCACCTTCCATGGACAGTGAGCCAGGCAGGCCAGCGGGCACCATGAGCGAGGGCCGTGGGCACCATGGTCAGGTGACATCGCGGTGAGCCAGCCTGTGTGGGCGGACCGGCTCCAGGTGCGCATGGACACTGCCTGGACACAGAGCGAAGTGCACAGACAGGCCGGGAGGCCACCACTTTAGAGCAGCGATCACCAGCCTTTCGGACCTCACGGGCCATCAGCGGCCCACAGGCCACTGGCTGGCGACCACTCTTTAGATTAAAGATGCAAAATAGATCGTGGAGGCTTGGAGGATACGGGAGACACCAGAATGGAGGTGGGAAAAGGGGTGAGTGGGAGGCAATTTGACCAGAGAAGGCAGAGGCCCGAGGAGCCCAGTGTCTGGAGGGAGCAGTGGCGGGGCCTCGGGGGCAAGGGGGGACGAGGCTGTGCCGAGGCCTGCAGGTGAGGCAAGGACAGTGTGGACTCACGGCCAAGAGCAGGAAGGAGGCACTGACCACAGAGGAAGGAGGGTCCGATGAGGCTAAGAAAATGTGTAAACAAGCCTAGGGCCCCCGGCCCACGTGGCTCAGGGGTGGCGCGTCGACCTATGAACCAGGAGGTCAGGGTTTGATTCCCAGTCAGGGCACATGCCTGGACTGCAGGCTCGACCCCCAGGGTGGGGTGTGCAGGAGGCAGCCGATCCATGATTGCCTCTCATCATTGATGTCTCTCCCTCTCCCTTCCTCTCTGGAATCAATAACAAACTATTAAAAAAAAAAGCCTAGGCCAAGGGCAGAGGGAGCCCGCCTCGGGGAGCCCACCTGTCATTGAGGGGGAGCGGGGCCGTGGGGCTCGCTGAGGTGCAGAGGGGTGTCTGCCAGCCCTGGGGACGGGGGTGGCTGGCCTTGAACCGTGAAAGGGTAGAGACAGAAGTGGGGATGTGCTGTCCGCAGCCGTGGGCGGGAGCATCAGCTGGTGCAGAGGCCATCTCATCTCTCTGGGACACTAGGAAGCTGTACATCAAGCATGTCAAACTCGCAGCCCGTGGGCCGCATGCAGCCCACCATGAATGTTTTTGTGGCCCAGCCAATATAATGGTATGAATAAAAATGTCACGACTTAAGTTTTGCAATATCCTGTTATACATAATAATTATTTTTTTCTTTTAAAAATATGGAACGCTTCACAATTTGCGTGTCATCCTTGCTCAGGGCCGTACTAATCTTCTCTGTATTGTTCCCATTTTAGCATATGTGCTGCTGAAGTGAGCACCACACATAACTATTAATAACTAACTACAACGTCCGCTAATGACCGATGACTACAATTGTGCTGCATCCATTTCCCTTACAGCCTTACGCGCAGGCGCACCATTTCTCTCCACTAATACCAGCAGCGAATATTTTAGCAGCCGATGGCCACGTCATTAGTCTTGGACTGACTTGTTTGGTGTGCACAACAGGAAATATTTCACTTTCGGAGAACAAGAAAAATAGATTTATTTGTGTTACACTTATTAATCTGTGCAGTTATTCAGTGTCTGGTAAGTTCATGTTCAAATTAATTGTTATAAAATGTCCTACTATTTTATGTTAATGACTCATTTATGTCAGCCCTTTGTGTTCAGCATGTCTCTATCGAAATAAACCTGCGTTTCTATGAAAATCGAAGCTTTTGTTTGTTTGCGGCCACACACCTTGTTTACTGGGCCGGTGTCAGCCTTTGAGTGTGACACGCTCGCTGTACACTGTGCACAGCTCCCGCAGCACGTCCCGGGGGCCAGGCCCCTGAGCACAGCTCCCGCAGCATGTCCCGGGGGCCAGGCCCTGAGCACAGCGGCTCTCGGGGGGGAGCCTGGACCGGAGGCTGTGCGGCGTGAACGGCCCCTTCTCCGCTCTGGGGTGAAGGGCTTGGGGTGAGACCCTGGAGGTGTACTCAGCCTCTGTGCGCCCCTTGTCAACACCCCTACTCTGGGCCCTGGGCTCCCGGCAGCACGAGGGAGAAGGGGCGCAATTGTATCTCTGGGCACCCTTACGTGCCGGCTCGTCTCCTCTCACCGGCAAGCCCCCGCGAAGAAAGGGGTGTTAAAGGTGCAGACACCATGTTTAGAACCTGCAGGTGAGAAAGTCATTGACGCTTCCGAGCTGTTTCAGCATGGACACGGGACCTATTAGCAGCCTGCTAGGTAACAGTGGCTGAGTTCTTTGGGGTTTGATCATTCAAGGCGCTGTTTTCTTAGATTATTGTCTTCTAAGTGTTTGGAAGTTATTTGTTCAAGTACTTAATGTAGTTTGGCTCAAGTGCCTTTACACTCTAAATGCATGTTGTAGCATTTAATGGGCGAAATGGCCCTGGTTACCTGAGGAGGAGTCAGCACGACTTGGTGAAGACTTAAAGAACACATGTTGTGAATGTCTTATAAGGTGGAATGGTCATTGAAATATAAGGACTTGAATAATTGTATTTCCTGAAAAATGTATGTTTATGAATTTTCTAACTTAAAAAAAATAAACAAAGATGCAGAAACCCAGGCCTGGAAAGCCGGCCGAGCTCGCCGGAGGCCTCAAGCTGGAAAGGGGTGAGGCCAGAGGAGCACTCGGCTCTGTCCTGCGGCCGCCCGGCCTCTGGGCTGTCCCCGTGTCCGGGACTTCCCTCCCCTTCTCGCCGCCGCCTCAGCGCGCAGGCTGTCCTGCCTCACAGGGGGCAGTTGGTGAGTCTGCCCCTTCCTCTTGGCACCTGCCCCCACCCTCCTTATGGCCCCGGAGGCCCCAGCTCTCTCTCCTTCTCTCCCTTGGAAGGTGATTAAAGTCATGTCTGACGGGGCCTCAGCTCCCATGTCCCCTCCCTCCTGACTTCCTCCTGCTCCCCATTTCATCCCTTCGCCTGCACAGGCCTGTCCCTAAATGCCTCCTTTGTTCCCGCTCCCACCTCGTCTGGGTGCCTCTTGCTCTGATGGCTGGGCCTGGCCGTGTGGGGCCACCCAGCCTCGGGGAGCAGAGGTTTCCTGGAGAACGGAGAGCAGCTCAGCATGTGCCCCGCCTGGGGAAGCCTCCAGCTGCCACACACCTGGCCACGCACCTGGACGCTCCCACTGCCCTTGGGGAAGGGGCGACTGGAGATCAGGCCCCTGCCGCCCTCAGCCACATGGGCCACGGGCTGAGGCATGTGCCAAAGGAGCCATTAATGGCCAAATTCGCACTCCCCGACAGTGTGATTATCCGGATGGCAATCTGAAATGCTCAGTTCCCCATTTCCACTCATGCCAACAGCCCACGACCAGTCTGCCTGGCGGGGGATCCCCTTCCTCTGCTCCCTCAGGCATTAGGACAGGGAGGGTCAAGACAGGGGGAGCATCACCAGGCCAGGCCACGGCCGTGGCCCTCGGGGAAGTCACCCCACTCTCCAGGCCTTGGTTTCCTCCTGGTAACATTGAACTAGAGCTGGGATTCCCAACCCGGCAGCACATCAGCAAAGACCCCAGACCCTGAGCCCTGAGCAGGACCTCCTGGGGGACACCTGGGCATCTGTGTCCTAACAATTCATCAGGCCATCGGGTCAGAGGTCGGCTGTTGGAAGCCACTGGACTCAGGGAGTCCAAGGAGGGCCTGCAAGTGGGGGAAATGGGACAGCCTGGGCTGCGCCCCATAATGGATGAGCCAGCGCTGCCTCTCCGGCTGTGATTAACTTCAGGGAAGTCTCTAACATCTTGAAATCTGTCTTTCCCTTTCTTCCTTCCTTCCTCCCTTCCTTCCTTCCTTCCTTCCTTCCTCACCCAATAATATTTTTCCCATTGATTTTTAGAGAGAGTGAAAGGGAGGGAGGGAGGGAGGGAGAAAGAGAAACATTGATGTGAGAGAGACACATGGATTGGTTGCCTCCTGCATGCACCCTGACTGGGCCTGGAATCAAACCCGCCACCGTTTGATGTGCGGGCTGCTGCTCTACCCGCACCCCGCCCCCCCCCCCCCCCCCCCCCACGCCACACCGGCCATGGCGAGCCTATGTCTTCATCTATAAAGTCAGTGCCGGAGCCCCACTGGGTGACCTGTTGCCGGGAGTAACCATGGAATGCAGGGCCAGTCCTGGCACACCGGTGTGCTCCCTGAAGCCTGGTGTGCCTCTTGCCCATTTGCCTGTCACTCTCCCTGCCGTCCTGGGTCGAGCCTCTTATTTTGCTGCTTCCTCCTCAGCACCCACAGAGGTCACCCCACCTCCTTTCCTACCAGCTGGTCCCAGAGCAGAAGGTCCCCCCGACCTCCAGGAAGTGGTTCTGCCCCTCAGCCATGCCCAGGCCTGGAGCCTGGCTTCTCTGTTCTCTCTCCACAGAGCTCTTGCCCGCACCAGCCCTGTGTTCAGGGCTGAGGGGCCATGACTTCCCCACAGCCCCTCAGCCAGCAGCTCAGCCTCCGTGGGGAGCCGGGGCCTGAGCGGGGGCAGGGCTCTGAGTGAGAGGAGCACTCCTGAGAGCAGGCGGCCCTGCCAGGAGGAGCTGCCCTGGCTCAGCAGCAGGAAGGCCTGGGCTGGCGGAGGGAGGCGTGAGGCCGGGGTGCGTGTGTTCCTTTCACCTCGTCAGCCGATCCAGCCCGGGGAGCCCCGGAGCCGAGGTGGTGGACACCTGGGGGGCCCCAGGGCATTCAGAGTAACATGGACACCGTTCCGACCCCGGGTGCCCCAGAAGGGCAGTCATGTTGCCACCGAGTGCCCTGCCCCCGTGCTGCCTCCGCTCGGATCCTGGGCAGATGGACACCCACAGCCATGTCACCGGCAGCGAAACGTGCCTGCGATGACCTCACCCGGGCTGCCACCCTAGCCTGTCCGACAGGTCTGGACAGAGCTCCCTGTGCAGAGTGTGGGCCGGTGTTTGGGTCTGAAGGGGGCGCGTCAGAAAGGTGCCGGTTGATGTGCGTGTTCATTCTGACCCATTAACCCACGCACTCCGCTCGGTGCCATGGCTGAGGCTCCCGCAGAGCCAGGCCCAGGCAGGCTGTCTGCTCCCTCCACCCCGGGCTGGTCTACGCTGCTGGCACCACACACCCACACACGCACACACACACACACACACGCACACACGCACACACGCTCACATACATACACGCACACACACATGCACGCGCACACGCTCACACACACAGGCGCGCACACACTACATGAAGCTCCCACCATCACAGTCACATCTGTGGGTCAGACCCTCTCCCCGGAGAGCACCTCCCCCGAGTCCTGCCCTTCAAGGCTGTTCTCGCTGCTCCCCGTGCTGGACAAGACCGTGGGGAGCGGTCCCTCAGGCCCGGCAGCTGGACGGGTCCCTCCTCCTGGGCCTGTCCCCACCGCAGGTGAAGCGGGAGGACGAGCCTGCAGTCCGTGCACCTGGCCTTCCGTCCACTGTGACTGGTGCACCGGCAGCTGCTGTCGGGCGGATGCTCCCAGAGGAGCTGCTGTGCGCTCTGCCTCCCGCCTGTGCCTGAGCCTCAGAGACCACAGCGGCCCCTGGGAGGGCACAGCGGCCCCGGGACCGGAAGGCGAGTTGAGCTGGTGCCTCCGGGGAGAGCGGCCAGGCCCCTCTGTCTTCAGGGCACCTGCTTTCCTAGATGGTGACACCCCGCTCCAGATGAAGTTTGGGCCCCGCCCTGCGTAGGAGCCGGAGCGGGTTCTCTGCCGGTAACAGAAGGGGGAGCCTCCAGGCCGGCTCTTGGCTTCATCTCCCCTCCTTGTCCCTGAGGCCTTGACGACATGTTCAAGGCCCCCGGGTTCCACGAGGGCCACGCGGAAACAATCCAGCCCAGCCCCCGAGCACGAAGGTCAGAGTCAAACCCAGGAGCAGAGCCAGGCCGGTCCTGGAGCCCAGGCAGAGGCCCTGCGTGTCCTGGCTGCCGTGGGTGCTGATGACGGCCCCTCATTCTGGGTGATTTCCCGTCAGCTCCTGGAGGGGGGCTCTGTGGCCCCCCACATCTCGGCCTCCCAGTAGGAAGGTGGGAGCCAGGCTGGGGTGGGAAAGTGGGGGGGACTGGGAGCACCTCCTTCCTGGGCCAAATGAGGCTCCGGAGGCATCTGGGTATTTTCCCATCTCCACGTGCCCCTCCCTGCCCAGGGGAGAGCCACCCACCGCTCCTGGTCAGGAGGGCTGGGCATGGCGTCCGCGGGCAACCTGTGGGGAAGGAGCCTCGGCCGAAGCTGAGCCCTTAACGCACGACCTTCTCCCGGTTTCCCAGCCTACGCGCCCCTGCTGCTCCCCACAGCAGCACAGGCAGGGCCGCATACACCGACTCCACGCAGCACACGTCCCCCCCACACATACAAACACATGCAAAATCCATGAATGAACATAAACACCCACACGCCTAGAAACACACACACATATGTATATACCCAACCCACACACAAATGCCGACCTTACTAATAGTGTCCGCCCACAGGCCTAGGCAGGTTCTGCACACGCAAAGCACACGGGGCCAGCTGAGAGAAGGTAAAGGTGGCCAGAGCGGGCGGGGTGGGGGGAGGGGGGGCGGGGGAGGAAGGCAGCTGGCTGGTGGGGGTGGTCAGATAGAGCTGGAAGTCACTGTCCTCTAAATGCAAACTCTGAAGCCAGAGATGAAGGACGTTTAAAGGTCAAATTCCCTCTTCACCCAGGACCCTTTCCCGGGGAGCCCTGCTCAGCGGGAATGGAAGACTCTCCCTTAAATAAAAAGGAGAAACGGCCCGCCCAGGCACTGAGCAGGACTGCGTGCCGTCTCCGTCTGGCGCGGGTTGGCCCTGAGCCCTTGGCCAGGCCGGACCTTTCCTGAGCCTCTACCTGCTCCTCCAGGGAAAGGCCTGTCTCCTGAGGCCTGGGGGCTGCTTCCGACCCTCAGCCTGTGGTGTGTGGGGCAGGAGAGAGCCAGGGACCGAGGAGGCGGCAGCCCCAAAGCTGAGGGACCCCGTGGAGGAGAGCAGGCGGCAGACGCCTTCGGTGAGGGAGGACGGCTGGGCCGGGGGGGGGGGGGGGGGGGGAGGGACACGGCACGGGGGGGGGGGGGGGCAGTACCTCCTTCTCGGCCTTGGCCTCCTCCACGGTCACAGTGCTGTGGTTCTTGTGCTCCTGGAACATGCACAGGTAGCAGATGCAGGTCTGGTCCGTCTGGCAGAAGAGCTCCATGGTCTTGCCGTGCAGCGGGCACTTGCGGGCCTCGAAGTCGCCGATGGGCTCCAGCAGCGGGTGGTCGCGGAAGGCGGCGCCCTCCAGGTGCGGCTTGAGGTGCAGCTCGCAGAAGGAGGCCTGGCACACCAGGCAGGACTTGACCGCCTTCTGCTTGTTGCCGATGCAGGAGTCGCACAGGACCTCCTCGGCGCCCGGCTTGGCGCGCGGCAGGCTGCCCGGGTCCGCCCGGGGGAAGCTGTGCCTCCTGGCGTCCCCGGGCTCCCCGATGGACAGGGCGGGCTTGCGGGGCTCCGAGAAGATGGACTTGCGCAGCTCTCCCTTCTCGGCGAAGGTGACCGGCGGCTTCCTGGCGGCCCCCAGCTGCAGCCCCGCGTAGGGGGACCGCTTGCCGTCCCCAGAGTCCATGCTGAAGTAGTTGGGGCCCTTGTCGTCCACCGACTCCACGAACTGGACGATGGGCCGCCGCCACTCGCCCCCCAGGAACAGGGTGCTCTTCCCCTCCCCTGGCTTCGGGGTGCTGCCCGGGCTCTTGCCCTCAGCCGCCTCCCCGCTGTGCCCGTTGGTAGTCTTGGCGTCCTTACTGTCCGCCTTGGCCCCGTTCTCAGGGCTGCCCACAGGGCCTGGCGGGCTGCGGGCTTCCCTGGCCTCCGGGCTGGCCCCGTTGCTCCGGGCGGCGTCGGTGGCGTCCATGGCAGGCGTTTGGCGGGTCTGTCTCAGGGTCAGGGGCTGCGGTGGTGGCCTCTCGGGTGGCGTCTGCCGGGCAGTGGGACAGGAGGCGGTGGAGCCCAGAGACACACCTTGAGGGGAGGGAGGAGGAGGCGGAGGGACAGGCTGGGAGGAGCCGGCACACGGCTGCCTCCAGGCAGAGCAGCTCCTTGTCCAGGCCACACCCTGCACCTTCAGACCCACCCTGATTTGTGGAAGGAGTGTTTTTTCTCCCCGTTTAATTATTTCCTACAGCTCAGCAACCAGTCGGGCTGCTTCCTTCTGATGCACCTTTTAAAGGGGAGCCGTGTCCTCACAGGTGGGCCAGCTTGCTGAGCCGAGAGGCCCCTGGGGCAGAGGCCGAGGTGTCTGCTGAGGCCCACGGACAGAGGGCTGTGGACTGGATCATACAAGCCAAACAGCCGTGCGCTGTGTGGGCCTGGCTTCAGGGGGAGGGCCCTGTGCGGATGGTGGGATTGCTCCTCGTCTTAAGGGAAAGGGTGGGTGCCAGGGATTTGGGGTTTGCAATGAAATGGCTGCCAATTATTCAACTCACCTGGCCACGCCCAGGCACTGTCCTCCCTACATTACAATCCAGCAACCTGCTCAATGATCCCGCTAACAGACGAGGAAACGGAAGCTCTAGGAAGAGAAAGCACTGGCCTAAGTCACCTAGGAGAGCTGGCATCTGAACCCAAGGCCTAGAGATGCACAGGTCTTTCCTCAGCTAAGGGCCCCAGCGCCACCTGAGCCCCTCCGTGCAAGGCGGCCTCAGAGCGCCGTGCGTCCGGCAGCCCTAACCAGGTGCACACAGCCCTGCGGTTGTTCCTGGCAGAGCAGGCCAGAACTTGCTTGGATCTAAAAGGCAGACACAGTAATGCAGGGAATGCAAGCAATGCCAAGCCAGGGGGCTGGGTCCTGGGGCCCGAACACTTACCTCGCACTGTCTCCACAGCAGGTTTGCTGTGTGACTCAGAAAACATCTGCCCCCCGCCCCCCCGCCCCCTCAGAGCCAGGCCTCCTAAAAGAAGCCATGAAGGTGGGCCTCAGGTTATTCCCGAAGGGGGCTGTTCAGGTGTGATATCCCCTCAGCACAGAGCCCAGGACCAGATGTGAGGAAGCCTACGCCGGCAGAGGCCTCTATCCGACCACCTGCAGGAGCACCTGCCAGACAGGCCACCTGGTCCCCACCTGGGCTGTGACCCGCTGCCATGGTCCTGGGAGCCTCCCCAGCGAGTGCATAACTGTGCCTCTCCCGGGTGGGGCTGGAGGGACAGAACAGGGTGGGTGCGGCTGGGGTGGCATGTTCTGGGTGGTGTGTATGCAGGAGAGTGGGTTTCCCTCCCTCCCCTTGAATCCAGGTCAAGCTCAGGAGTCCCGCCCGGCTGGCTCACCAGGCTGAGCAGCTAATCCTGTGCAATAATATCCCTGGGAAAAGAGCCTAGACAAGCTTGCTTCACAAGCCAGCTCGAGTTTTAAGAGGTGTGGAGTGGTGTTGGGGTGTAGACCTGGCTCCATAGTGGGAATTCCTTCTGTTCTCAGGCACCACGGGAGCCACCTCTTGTTTGAACTTACTAGGAAGTTGGCTAAGAGCTCGTGGGGTCTTTGAGGGTGGGGAGCCCTTCCTTAAAAACTCAGTCCCCATTCCACGGGGCTCTTGCCAAAGGTGAGGAGGGAGAGCCCCCTCTCCTCACAGTGTCTCCCCAACCTTGTGAGAACAGACATAAGGAGGAAAGAGCAGGGAATCCAAGAAGCATAAGAGAAAAAACAAAGGGTTCTAGTATGGATCCGCCATCAATGGGCTGAGCCTGGGGCTGCACTAGGAGGCTCTGCTAGTCCTTGGAGCTCATGCACCTTCATCCCAAGTCTGGGGGATGGGTCTGAGCCTTGGGAGTAGCTGACACAGAGTAGATGCTCAGAGAACATTGGTGGATGGATGGATGGATGGGTGAGTGGATGGATGAATGGATAGGTGGATAGATAGATGGATGGGTAGGTGGATGCATGCATGGATGGATGGATGGATGGATGGATGGATGGATGGATGGATGGATAAGTGGATGGATGGATGGATGGATGGATGGATGGATGGATGGATGGATGGATGGATTGATGGATGCATGAATGGATGGGTGAGTAGATGGATGAATGGATGGATGGATGGATGGATGGATGGATGGATGGATGGATGGATGAGTTGGTGGATGGATGGATGGATGGATGGATGGATGGATGGATGGATGGATGGATGAATGGGTGGGTGGATGGATGGATGGATGGATGGATGGATGGATGGGTGTATGGATGAATAAATGAGTGGATAGATAGATGGATGGGTAGGTGGATGCATAGATGGATGAATGGATGGGTACGTGGATGATGGATGGATGAGTTGGTGGATGGATGGATGGATGGATAGATGGATAGATGCATGGATGAATGGATGAGTGAGTGTGTGGGTGGATGTATGGATGCATGCATGGATGGATGGATGAATGGATGGGTGGGTGGATGGATGGATGGAAGAAAGAAAAGTTAGATGAATCTGAGTGGGGAAATAGATGGGTAATATATGTGAAGAATGATGGGTGGGCAAAAAAAATGGATGGATGGATGAATACATAGTTTGCAAATTGGATAAAATAACTGAGAAAAAAGGAAGGAAAAAGACAGGAATAGAGAGAGAAAGGAAGATAGGTGGGAAGGAGAGAGTTATGAGAAGGGAAGAGAAAGGATGGATGAAGATGAATAGGTAGAAGGCGGTGGGTGTGCTGATAACAGTTTAGCAGCTGGCTCTTCCAGGGTGAAAAAGTGCTGGTTTGTAGTGAGCCCATTTCTCCTACCATGACCAATCTCCAGCTACCAATGCAAGATGTGTGGGGAAGAGATGCACCCGATTGGCTCTCCTGAGCTATTGGGAGCCAGCGCCAGCCTATCACAGAAGAGTGGTGGGAAACCAAGGTAGATTGATAGATTGTAGGAGGGAGACAAAACATATGGATTCTGGAGGATGCCACCCTCAGTTGTCCTGAGCAAGGAACCCAGGTTCAAGTGACTTCAAGGCCGTGAAAATCAAGGCTGATTTATGTCTTCCACAGGCGTTCCCTCTGACCCAGGCCATCGGTGAAGGCTCCTTCCGCTGGACCCCTGTCTGTCCCGCTCTGAGGCATTCAGCTCAGACCGCTCAGTACTGTTGTGATTCACTCATGGACACAGATTTCTTGAGCATCTTACTATGTGCCAGGCCCTAACCAGGGGCTGGTCACACGGCATGAATGAGTTGGAGAGCTCACACTCCCATGGGAAAACAAACCAGGGAGTCAATGATTTGAGTTTGGAGTAAACAGTGAAGGAGGCATTCTGCGAGGGGCTGTGCTGCAGAGAGGAGGAGGAGGAGGAGCCGGAGACGTGCTAAGAGGCCTCCCGCCAGGCTGGGTGGGGGCTCACTCCCCAGCACAGACGAGTCCCCCAGCCAGACAGAGGGGACCTGGGTTCAACGCAGCAGATCTGTATTTGGTTGAATGCCGGTTGATCCTCCTGGGCAGGGCCCCTGACCCCTTCCTCCCTTGGGGGACCCGAGCCTTCCAAATGCCTGGTGGGAGGTAGGGGCTCCTGGGGACCCCAAGGCCTGAAGAGACCTTCTCAGAGGAAGCCCGGCTCTTCCAGGACTGACGGAGCCCTCACACCCACCCGCCTGTGGCCGGCCACGTCGAAGAGCAAGGATTCTGTCTGCTCAGATGTGAGGGCTGAGCTGGCACTGAGCGCCAACCGCGGGAAGGCGATGGCTGAGAGCTGCCCCAGGCCCTTCACTCAGCCCCGCCCGGGTGCCATCCAGGGCCCAACTACACTCAGTCCATCCCCTGGGCCTGCCCCTCCAACCCAAATCCAGTGGCACTGGCTCCACAAGCAGACAATCCCTGACGATGGCAGAGACTGTGCCACACGCCAACTGGCAGGAAGGACCCAAGGCCACCTACCCATGTGCTGAGGGCTGGGAGCAGAGGACCTCTTCCATTTTTAAAAATATTTTTATTGGTTCCAGAGAGAAAGGGCGAGGGAGGGAGATAAGCATCCATGATGAGAGAGTCACGGGTCAGCTGCCTCCTGCACACCCCACATTGGGGATCGAGCCCGAAGCCGGGCATGTGCCCTGACTGGGAATCCAACTGTGACCTGCTGGTTCATAGGTCGATGCTCAACCACTGAGCCAGGCCAGTGGGGCTTGTGTGATGTAACATGTGGGGTCTGCTTTCATGTGGACTGGTGCAACTCTCCCATGCACTAAGCTGAAAGAGCCGTGCAAAGAAAAGAAAGAAAAGAGATCAGCGGGGAGTCCTCCCAGGTGAGGCCCAGACCCAGGCCTTCTCTGCACAGACGCACTCACTCACACTGGCCCTGAGCTCCGGGGAGGCAGCCTGCAGAGGTGCCAGGGACCCCGCAGAGAAACAGAATCGTCCGGCTTCAGGGCCAGGGCTGCAGGCAGGACTGAAGGCTGCCTGGCACCATCCTCCCTTTGCTGAGCCCTCCTCCCACACAGTCCTCTCCCCCACAACCCTCCCCCACACAGCCCTCCCCCCCACAGTACCCCCCCACAGCCCTCCCCCACAGTCCCCCCCACAGTCCCCCCACAGCCCTCCCCCACAGCCCTCCCCCACAGCCCTCCCCCATACAGCCCTCCCCTACACAAGCCTCTCTCCCACAGCCCTCCCCCACACAGCCCTCCCCCACACAGCCCTCCCCCCACAGTCCCTCCCACACACAGCCCTCCCCCCCACAGCCCCCCATACACAGCCCTCCCCCCCACAGTCCCTCCCACACACAGGCCTCCCCCCACAGCCCTCCCCCCCACAGTCCTCCCCCCACAGCCCTCCCCCACACAGGCCTCCCCCCAAAGCCCTCCCCCACACAGCCCTCCCCCACACAGCCCCCCCCCCCAGCCTTCCCCAACACAGGCATGGGAGAGTTGCACCAGTCCACAGGGAGACCCAGATTTGGCACCAGGCAGGTGCCAAATCTGGGTCTCCCTGCAGGTTCCCTGAGACCGGCCGCACGCCATTCGCCTGCCTGGCCCGTTTTTCAGCCACTGT